GGCGCGCCGCCGCGGGCCCCCAGCCCAGAACCCTTACTCACCTGGCCACTGGCCACCTGGGTTGCGGACACCAGGGGCGAACGCGGACTCCGGCAGGAGAGGCTCTCCCTGCGCGTGTCCGGGCGCGGCGCCGGGAATATACCTCCAGCTGGGTCCCACTCTCGTTCCCGGGCACTTGGGGCACTCGGGACCTGCGGGCGCCGCAGCCGTCAGGGCGGGGCGGAAGGAGGAGCCTGCTGGGCGGAAAACCCCACGGGTGCGGCCACCCCTACGCGCCGCGGGGCGGAGCCGCTGGAGCCTGGGCGGGGCCTCGGCGTGAACCCGCCCCCAGGTGAGGGCGTAGCGGAGCTGGGGGAGAGGATCGGAGTCCGAGTGGGTTCATTTCTTTTTTGACTATTTTGTAACTAGCGTTTATGCCTGTGTTACGTGCGTGACCTTTATGTAAAAAAAAGAATAAACTTTGTTTTAAAACAGTTTTAGATTTACAGAAAAATTACGATCTGACGGGAGGGGAGCTGCCTTCGCTAGCCAGGGAGGAAGCCGCAGGCCTTCCGGCTGCAGGGGCTGATCTAAGACGTCTCCGGCGACAGGAGGTCCGCCCAGCACCCCAACCTTCTTCTGCACGGGTCCCGTGCTGAGCCATATTCGCCTTCCTGCAGGGGAGGGAAACATCCTAAGCCCTCTCCAGCCCTGTGTACTAAGTTAATGTGTCTCTTTAAGATAAAGAAAACTTTCTACATTAAGAGATCACACAACGGAGATTGATCGCGGAGAAACCTGACAAAGTAGCTCAGCCCCAGTGATCGAGGTCGACGGTGATAAATCATATTGGTAGTATGTACCTGCTGTGGCCTTCCTCCCAAGAACACATAATCCCAATGGAACCATGAGAAAAACATAGACAAATCCCAGTTGGACACGTCCTGCAGAATAAAAAACCAGTGCTCCTCAAAACTGTCAAGGGGACGAACAACAAGGGAAGTCTGAGACACTGTCACAACCCGAAAGAACCTAATAGAAACTGACAACTAAATGCGACGCGGCATTGTGGGTGGGATACTGAAAAAGGACATTAAGTTAGAAGAGCACCTGAATAAAATATGGATTTTAGTCAAAAATAATGCATCAATATCGGTTCATTCATTGTAGCGAAAGCACCGCATTAATGTAAGATGTAACAAGAAATCAGGTTTATGCGAATTCCTTGTATTGTCTTCTCAGTTTTTCTGTAAACCTAAAACTGCTCTAAAACAGTTTTTAAAAAATTCATGCACGTAATACACACTTAAGTGCTAGTTATAAAATATTTTTAAAATGTTCGCTCTCATTCCACTCCCTCCAGCCACTTTTAGTCATTCCCTACGAATCTCCCTTCAACACATTCTGTGTACGTATATGTGCGTGGATTTACATATGTGCATTGTTTTTACAAATGGTATAGCAGTCTTTTGATTGGTGTTTTTCAACGTGCTCTTTTAGTCACTATACCTTGGAAGGTCTTCCGATGCAAGCAAGCACACCTGGATCGACCTGGTTCTTCCTAACGACTGCACTTTCTGCGCCATTGTGTAGTCACTATTCTTTATTACCTGGCTTCTTCCAGAAGGGAAGTTAGGTTATTGCGTACTGGGGGACTGGTTGCAAATTTAGGTCCTATTTTCATGCTAATAGCACATGCAAAAATAGCAGGAAGGACTGGGAGCTGTAGGCAGGTCCTGGGCAGAAGCCAAGGCTCTGGCCGCTGGCCTTGCACGGACAGGGGTGTCGGTGCTGCGCGGGAGCAGCGCGTTCTGGCAGGCTGGTCTGGGCCTCACAATGGGCCCCGGGGGCCCAGTCATCTTCAGTGATCTCACCCATATACGCCTCCAGGCGGGGCTCTTTTGGTGGATGGACTGCATTTTTTGGACATGAGTGGGCCGGCGAGGTTGAAACTCAAGTCAAAGACTCGAGGCTGGCTCCGAGAAAACCCCGGAACAGAAGACGAGCGGAGGGTCAGAAGCACCAGGAAACTCTTCCGGGATTGACTGTTACCCTGGTAGAGGCGCCCGCCTAGGTGCAGGAGCTGGAAGCTAGAGGCGGGTGTGAACCCCTTGTGAAACCAGTGCGTCGTTCCGGGAGTCACTGTCTCCCCGCGCTCTCCCAGGGCTGGGAGGATTCGTCCTGGAAAGTCACCTGGCACCGACCCAGCCTCTCTGCCTGGATACCGGCGCCCGCGCACCCGCCTCACAGTGACCGCAAAGGCCAGCTTCTTTGAATGACCCACTTTTCTCCGTGACTGGGCGAATGTTTCCTTGAATACCGTATTTTTAAAAAAATAAATCACTTTAGGGTAGAATTCCTCCTGTATGTACCACACATTTTCCTGCCTCAGAATCTTCAAGGCCAGAACGGTGAATAGCTACTACTGTACTCCCCTTTTTATAATTTCCAAGCGTTTATTTTCAGCTAACGTATGTTGAGCCCAGCTTGGTGTAGCAAGACGCTTAGGAAATGAGAAGGTCCTGCAAAGGGCGGGAATCAAGTCCTGGATCTTAAAGTTGGTGGCAGGCCACGAGGATGCCCCCAGGGAATATAGAGTGCGAGGATAAGAGGGAAGTGCTAAACTTCTTGTTCAAAGGACTGGATCTAGCTCTGACTCAGAACTTTGAAAGTGATTCATCCTCCCAACCTTGACTTTCTCATTATAAAATCTTTAAAATGGGGTCAGTCCATGGCCTTGTGGTTAAGGCAGCTAGATCCCATGTGGCTCTCCATGAGGCTCAAGTCCTGGGCCTGGTAACTTGAAAAAAACTTTTTTTTTCAAAATAATCTATTTTAAAAAACTATAAAACAACCCCTTGCTTCATTGCTTTCCAGGGACAATACAAAAACCCAAAGAGTTAAGGGGGAAAAAAATGCCTTGTAAGAAAGAGTCACAGGCTGTAGCGATCTGAGTAGTACGATGTTTCTTTTTTTTAATCATTATCTTTCTTACATTGATTCATTCAATAAACAGTTGAATACAGCCAGTGTGATGGCCTCTGTACTTGACGTCATGAGCAGAGATAGAAAAGAAAACTCCCTTGCTCTTAACACAGCTCATTATCTAGTGGAAAAACAAATAAATCATAAATGCCACCCATAATAAAGGCTTGGAAAGACAGTCCCCGGGGCAGATGACAGGATGGGATGCAGAAAGGCTGCTAATCAGTCTGTTCAGACTGCAAGAAAATAGCTTTTTATTTTTAAAATCCTGTTAATTTTTAAAAATGATCAATTGCTCTAATTTCTGCATGTATCTTTGTAATTCTGTCCCTTCTCCTTTCCTTGGGTTTATCCGGGTTTCAAGAGTTAAAGAGGACTGCCTCGTGATCTAGTGGGTAAAAGAGCCAGATCCCACATGGCTGACAGGAAGCTTGAATCCTGGCCCTGTTGGCTTGAAAAACACACCAGCATGTGTGTGTGCACCAGATCCTGAGAGGACGAAGGAATGGAGGAGAGGGATTGCAGCAAGACCATACACCACTGCAGGTGCTTTCTCCCTCTCTGTCTCTCTCTTTCTGTCTCTCTTTGGCAAGTGCACGCACCCTCTGATCTTTTTTTTTTTTAAAAAAGAGTTGACTATTAAGTCATGTATTTTCAAAATCTTTCATTATTGTCTCCCTCTAAATCCTGCTTTAGCTGCATATCACAAGTTTTAATATGCCATGCTTTTATTATCTCTCAGTTATAAATATTTTTTAATTAGGATTTCATCCTTAATTTATGGATTATGTGGAAGTATGCCTTCAATTTTTTTTTGTTTTCAAACTTACGTTTTTATTAAGAAACCATTAGTTTGTCATTGACTTATTTTTATTCATTCATTTATTTTAATTTGACCAGAGAAAGACACACACACACACACACACACACCCACACACCCACAGAGAGAGAGAGAGAGAAAAAGAGAAAGAGAGAGAGAGAGAGAGGAGGAAGTGAGAAAGCAAGCCACCAGGACCAGGACTCGAACCATGCTGGGCCATGTGGGAGTGTCCAGTGCCTTAACCGCAGTGCCACCTGCTGGTCCCCTCATTGACTTATTTTTTAAGTTTACTTAGTCATTGGCTTCTTTCTTTGTTTGTTTAAATTTACTTATTTCTTCTATGAGAGGAGGGTCCCAGGTTTCTGAACTTAAAACAGGAACCTTCCTATGTGAGCAGAGCGTCATGTTTCACTGCCTCACCGTCTCACCCCTAATTTTGTCATTGACTTCCTACTTTAATTATTGGAGATGAGAAAATGTGATCTGTTTGCAATTGGCTGAGACTCCCTTCATGGCCTAGACACAGACTTTTTTGGACCGTTTTTGTGAATGTGTCTTCTCTCTTGGGATGGGCAAAGTTTTATCTATATATCTCTCCATTTAACTTATTAATCAGGTCATTTTCTTTTTTCTTTTTGTTTTTTTCTATAGGATGTGTGTGCTTGCCACAGAGATGGAGGGAGACAGAGAAACAGAAAGTGAGAAATCACCCCCCAGGTAGGATGGCCACGCCACAATCCCTTCTCCTTCAGTCTCCTCTCAGGATCTTGGGCACGCATGCACATGCCCCTGGCGTGAGTTTAAGCCGCTGGGTCCAGGACTGGAACTGTGGTCGACTACATGGGAGTCTAGCAACATAGCCATTACGCTACCTGCTGGTCCCTTAATCTGGTTATTTAGACCAAGATATCTCCTTTACTTTGTCTTCCTGTTCAGTCCATTGGTTTCTGAGACAGAGGTTTAACATTTCATACTTTTATTGTACTTGGCCAATTTCTTCCTATAATTCAGTCTGATTTTGCCTTGCAATATTGATAGCAAATTATTAGTCTCAGACAAATTCATAATTGTTTTACCTTTCTGTGACTTATCTTATTTGTTGGTTTTCCTATTAGTCCCTTCTTATTATTTTTTCTTTTTCAATTTTTAATCATGAAAAGATAATTTATTGAGGAGATTGGGGGTGCTTGCTCCCACCCCCAGCCTCAGTTGCCCATCAGTACAGTCTCATGGGTGGAAAGGACCAAGCTCTGGACTGCTCTGGGTCATAACTCAGGAGAGGCTGGGCAGTGGGCCAGGGGAACTGAGCCTCTAGTTCAGAGCTGAGATTCGATGCAGCAAAGGTGATGGTGACTGAGGCGAGAGCTGATGTGGACCAAACCCCCAGGACTGAGGAGGGTGAGGTGTGGCTACAAACCAGGTGCTTTTCAGCAGGTCAAAGACTGTTCTTTT